TAAGTTACATTTCAACCCTGTGAAAACTAAGGGTATTGTTTTCAACAGATCAGGCCAGCCCAATCTCTATCGCCGTCCCCACACAACAAAATGAATGAGAAGACAATCAAGATTGAGAGAGAGATTAAATATCTTGGTGTGATTATGGACCATAGACTGTCATGGAACCAACACATTGAGTTTATGGACTCACTAGCTGTTACCCGCGACTTCGTCCGCAGAGGTTTTGTAAGCAAACCCCATTTACATTCAATATTTCAATAACCATAGTAATTGTCATATAACACCTACCGCTGAAGAGAATTGCCAAGAATCAAACGAACTATTTTCAATTTGATCAATTTTCTGGAACGTTTACAATCATTCTATAATCGAACCAATATGCAATAACAAATTCGAATTTAAAACGGTTTGAACATTTTTAAAATTGAAATTGATTTATAAATATTTTTATCAATTTAATACACCTAAGTACTCAATGAAAACTAAATGTAGTTCTTCTGGTTAAGCCTTAATGCTCTCCCTCACCCCCGCGGGGGAATTTCTAAAAATCCCTTCTTAGTTTTCATTGCCATGGCATACCCTGCTAAAACGCAGATAAAAACAAAAAAATCGCATCTAAAATAGTACAGTAGAAGCCGTTCTTCCGGTTAAGCCTTAATCCTCTCCCTCTCCCCCCACGGGGAAATTTTGAAAAATCCCTTCTTAGTGTGCATTTCCATGACGCACCCTAACTGTGTACCAAATTTCACCTCTTTAGGTTCAGTGGTTTGCTCTGGGCGATGATGAATCAGTCAGTCAGTGACTCAGTCAGTCAGAACAAGCAATTTTATATACAGTAGATCCCCCTATAAAACCGTTTCCTATAGTTATGATTCCTATAAATATTGTGGCATTATCCGTAAACAACGGTAAAAATAACTCCTATAATACGTAAAACGTCATCGGGCAGCCGAACTACTTACCCGCCGTCCGTAGCGCCATGCTACGGAGAGATTTCTATCGTCTGGACAGTATTATATAAATTATATATAAATTAGGTACTGTACATATAATTATATATTAATTATATATAAATTAGGTACTGTATNATAGGCTGTATATTATTCCGTTAAACATTCATATAAATTAAAATATATAATCTAGGTTAAGGCTTTTATGTCCAACAGATGGCGCTACGAGTACGACGCCCTAAGTTTGCTTTTCTGCGAGGCATTACGCTTTTCTGTGAAAATGAACTAAAGCGGATCATCATCTATCTATATAAATAAAAATGTAATGTTCGTTTGTTCCTACCGATTCCTTTGAAATTTTCACACAACGCTGCATTCTAATACGCACGTGTTTTTATATAATATACGTGTCAAAATCCCCCCCGGGGAGATGGACAGGATTAAGGCTTACCGTAAAGAATTCTGCTTCTATTTATACTATTTTAGATGTGGATTTTTGCGTTTTTGATTGCGTTTTAATAGGTACGTCAACAGAATATACACTAAAAAGGGATTTTTCGAAAAATTCCTCCCCCACGGGGGGAGTGTTATACATTTGTAATAGATACATTTTGAGCCACAACAACGCGTGGCGGAGTCTGCTAGTCTATTATAATAACAGAATTTTAAGAGTTCTTAAGATGGTTTAATCGTTTTTAGCGTTTAATATGCAAAATCATGTTTTTTTTTAGCTTTAAAAAATTATACAGTGACTTAAAAACATTTGAATTAAAAAAAAGTGATTTTAATTAAATTGTATAATTTTTTGACAAGACATTAATCGAATTTTGTAAATATTTTGTTTGTAAACTGACAGATTTATCTGCTCTTACACTTTATACTAGAAGAAAAGAGGAGAAATGGTAATTTAGTTAATTACAAAACTTTCTAACAAATTTTCACTAAGTTAATGGCTTAAGCATTTGATTTATTTATGAAATGCGAATCACCTTTTAAAGCAAATTGTGTCAAGAGCAAACGTTCTGTTCCAATTAACGGAGCATATAACGTCACAAAAGACGTCGACGATTACACGCGCCGTGTCGTCACACATTACATTCCTAACAGTGTATTTCTCTGTAAACAGGAAGTCATTTAACATTTTAACGAGCGTTTTGTAAAATCGAAAGCCCATGCATTGGCCATTTTATCTATCGAACCCAATTTTACACGCTAAAAATTCGGAGAAACATGCGATATACCCTCAAAATAAAATTAACTATTATGAAATGGCAAAAAAGCTTATTTAAAAATTTTTTAATTTTTGAAACAATTTACAAAAATTCCTTTTGGACGAGCTCTACGAGTGTCCTCCCTCCTTTATCCCTTCATATACCAATAGGAAATAACAAATCTTACTGCGATGTATGAAGGGACAAAGGAAGGACACTTGTAGGGTTCGTCCAAAAGAGAGAGATTTTTATAAATTGTTTCAAAATTATTGTCTCAGCAGTAATTTTATTAGATTTTATTTTAAATGTATAAATTTTTAATTTTATCACAACAGATGGCGCCAGTAAATGTTTCCGGGAAAATTAAACAACTCGTTGCTGGATTTTTTGTTTAAAAAACTTTGAGAAAACAGATGTATTTAAATACATCTTTTCCTACAGTACGTATTCTCAACCTAATAGGGATATTTATTATAGAACACATACAGTAGGTTAAAATATAGTTGTCACTATATTTCATATAAAATATCCTATCTCGCGTATTTCTGATAGGAGCCATGTACAGTACATTACAGTATCACCTGTCTTCAAATGGTTTAGCCACCCCTGCTTTAATGCCTTACTTTTCAGAATCCTTATGAAATTTATGAAATGTAAATTTGCAATTTAAATTATCATTAAAGGTAAAGTATATTTAATAAAATAAAAATAGTTTTATTCCTGAATATCCCCGATGGGCCAAAGTCAGTTAACCATATGCACCTCTTATACAAAGTTAGTGAAAATACGAGATAAGAAAAACACGTTTAAACTCCAGGTTTCTCATTCACAGGCAATCTGGAACAACAAAAACGTGGTTAACTGACTTTTGGAAAATAAACTATGAAATGGAAATAGTGACTTTTCTAAGCATAATAGTTTGTTTATAAATATTGAAATTATCCTCCGATATTTAATTGTGAATCATGCTAATTATTTGCTGAGTTGTACAGGAAGTTTAAATGCTTTTTCCTCCCTTGTAGTGAGATAAAAATTTACCTATATTTGTAAAGATGTTTAACATTTTCCAGACAAAAATTTCCCATTATTTCTCAATATTGTGAAGTGGTAACAGGATCTTGGTGCTTCTATCTATGGTCAATATGTTAAATAGTCTGTTTACTCAAAAAGATATGTAATAATGTGTAATCAATTGTAGACACTTGACTATTTATAGCTTGTGGGTATTTCAATAGACTAAAATAGCTTTATTATATTTTTCAAAAGAACATACGTTTTTAATTCTTGTAACATTTCTGCTATATGGATTTACACAAGGAAAGCTATTCAATGGATACAAAGGTTTTGGGTCATTTAAAGTGTTGTTGAACTGTTAAGCATAAATTTTGATAAGTTTATATCATTCAAAAAACATTGTGGGAATTACAAATTTACATAGAAGAGTGACCTGTTTATCAATGCTTTATGTTAAATAATATTGAAAGGAAATTTACTATTGTGAATTGTATCGTCCATGAAACAAGGTCATCACAAAATGTTAATCATTTAAGGTCACAAAAGGTAATTTTGTCATCTTAAGTGATACTATACTGTATAGATGATCCAATAATAAATTGTCTACAATTATTTTATTAGAAAAATAATGAAAAGTGAAGACTATAAACTTGCAGTAAATGAAATCTTTTATCAAATAAAATAATTTATGATTAAGAACTTTATTCTTTATGGAATTTTCCAAAAAGTTAAGAGCATTTGTGCAATTATTAAAATACATAATTTATTGCTTTATTATCGAACAATTCTTGTATTTTATACACCATCAAACATATATTTTAATAGCTCGATTTCTAAGTTTTAATTTTTACTTAGAAATCAACATAGTTTTAGTCAAAGAAAACATAACAATAGTATTTATTATCTAATACCCTAATGAATAAAGACTAAATTTAATTTTTAATTACATTTTTGATTTTTTTGTTGTGTAGATTTAAAAACAGACAGACAGGCAACAACAATTGCATAGATGTATTAAAAGAGCAATAAAATTGGAATGCTGATGTCAACATCATTTATCATTAATTATTACTCTATACAGTTCATTAAATTAATTTGTATTTCTTCACAAATAATATGAACCATTAACTTCTGTTTGACCAGTGTAGATAAAATTATATTTTCCATATATTTGAAAGAACTGAAGTAGAATTATAACATTTCTCAATATACAATGGCCAATGATATTATTAATGTAAAGTTTATAAGCATTGATTCTGCTAATGAATTACTTTTTTTTTTTTTTAACTAAAAGAAATCTTTTACCAAAGATTCTCTTAAGGAAACCAAATGATAAATTAAGAGTTTCAGACTTCTATTTGAACTAACTTAAGTTCACAGTAACATTCAAAATAAATGGCAGCTACTTGCAGTGTTTCTGAACATTTCAAAATTTACACACAAACATTACTGTAAGCTGAAGTTGGTCTGAATAAGGATCAAAAATGTTTCTCCATTAGTTTCTGTTTAGTTTCCTTAATTACCTGTATTTTATTTTCTTAAATTATCAAAATAGTACTGTGCTTCATTGGAATTTTATGATATTGTCACTTTTTATAAAAGACTTGCATCATCATGGCCAAATGCCTGTTTTCTTTTTATGAATAATCTTGTCTCCAATACAGAGCAGTGACATAGAGCCGCAACTCTAGAGGCCAGCCGCATGGACATTGGCATTGACTTATTAGGACAAGAAACTGTTTATATACTGTGTACAAGCAGTTATACAATTAGAATTAAAAATCACCCTGAAGATTATTATATAATGAAACAGTCATATAAATAAAATTCCATAAGTAAAATTTATTTATAGATTATTATACAGATATAAAACTAAGCAACAATGTAGTTTTGTAAAGTACATTAAAATATTTTAAAGATATTTGACTAGTTAGTAATAATTTTTATTTGTTGCAGTATAAACTTAAGTTAAATGTTTGTGGGAAATCAGGATAATGCAAGATTACATAATTTAAATTTTCCATTTGTTTTATAAAAAGTAAGAAACAATTTTTAATATCATCACATTTCTAGAACAATACTGTATTTTACTTTCTTTTTTAAGCACCAATTATCATCACAAGTCAGTTCTGCAAAAGATTATTTCAATAGATCAATAAATTTAAAAATTAAAAAAAAAATCAGTTGTTCCAGAATTACAAAGGTTATCCTGTATTCTACTATAGCAGTCCTACTTGACTAAATTGTAGAAAGATCTGAACGTGGAATTTGTGGGTAGTATGCCCGCAAATTCCACATTCGGGAACACTCGACTGTTATACCCCCTCTCTTTTTGTCAGTTTAAGGAGAGTTGTTGGTTGTTTACCTTGTAGAGACAGAGGCAGAAAATAAATAGAACAGCATACAATACTAAATTAATCAAGCTATTCTTTACACACACAGGGAAATTACACTTTCTAACTGTTGCAAAATCGGGTGCTATAATTTGATGCATGTTCCAGACAACATTGAGTAAGGCAATTCTTGTATTTGTTTTCAATAATAAATTATGTGGGAGAATGCCAAACAAAATGACTGGACAGTTTGGAAAACTTGCACTTGGCTAGCAGTCTACCAGTAGGAAGCACTAAAGCATCATTCTGAAAGATTCAGTTTTTAGTCCTGCAAGCTATGAGAATGCAGGAGAGATCATTGGTGTTTTTTGGTGATCTATATAATTTAAAACCTTTTCTGTTGTGTTATATACATATGATGAGAGCAAGAATAAAAAGCTTAAAAATATCTCTTTTAGTTTCCTTAGAAATGTTTTGGCATGATGTTATAATAGAAACTGTGATAACCTTGCTAATTCTGGAACAACACACTTTAAAATAACAATCACCATCCTTATCAAGCAGAATTAATCTGAAGTTTTGTTTATTACATAAATAGTTATTTTAAATTATTTTGCAATTAAAATAACTATATTATAGGCACAAACAAGCAAAAAACTAACGATAACTGTGATAAACCATGAGCAACGAAAGTGGTGAAGATTCTGTTACCTGATATAAAAAAAATTTCAAATGTGTAATAATTTTTTCTCAGTGTACATTCATTTACCGTACCAATGTGAATATTTGGTCTCTACCTCGATTTCCAGCCAAATCTTTTTACGACCGGGCTTAGGGTGCCGAGAGAAACCGGTGGTAAATAGTTTGCCACATGTTTTCGCTTCCACCAGTGGCCATTTTTAGCCTCCTCGCTACCAATTTTCGTATATGTGTAATGATAATGTTCTGCACGTATGAACCTGAAAAAACATATTTTTCATATTTTATATTATTTAAATTCCTAATCAAAATTATAAAATTGATATTTTAATCATTTTTAGTATATTTATATAAATAATATTTACTTTGGAGGTTTCCTTCCTTCAAAAGGATTAAAACTTATTAATGACATAACAGTGTCGTCATTTTCAAGCAGTTTAACTGCAAGATGTATAAGCCAGGGATTATACTGATAATTCTGAAATTAAGAGAAAAAATAAATATTTTTTACAAGAATGAGAAGTTTGAAAATTTTTGATTTTTAATAATGATGATACAGTAGAGTCCCAGAAACTTGACTGTCATTAACTCAACTTGTCACTCAAAACTTAGATTACATGTATTTTTGTTTTATCTCTAACTTAACACTAGGATCACATAAGTTATAGTGCTTCGCCAGCATTAATAGAGAATATAACCCTTTTTCCAAAATGCCACCATGTGAACATCACTAACTTGAAAGTAGCAACTGAATAGCCAATACAGTATTTTTTAATTAAAATTTAATTACAAATAGAAATGCTCTCTGTTGGTATGTAGTTAATACGTATATGAATTTGCACATGCAATACTAGGCTAAATAGCAGAATTTTCAAAAAGGTGTCATTGCTATGGCTGCTATACATTAAATAAATTCATTAATTTAGTGTAAGTTTTCACATCTTTTGTAGTACAGTAAGCAGGTTTTCTTTCATTCCAAATGTGTTAAAAGATTTTAATAGGTTAATTTGCAGTAACATTGTATGAGTTGTGAATAACTCACTCCATAGTCCATAAAACTCATAATTTTTGGTAACTCGTCACCTTCTTGGTCCACATTAAATTGAGTTTGCGGGACTCGACCGTAGTAACCAAATTATTTCAAAAAATTCTTATTTAATCATTAACTCACCTGAAAAGCGGCAAACCACATGAGCCAGTCGAGCCGGTAGTGATACGGTGAAATAAGACAGGGTGTTTTTGTCGTATTTCCAGGTTTGCATTTGAATTCATACTCTTCCCACCGTGCCGTCGGACTTGAAGGATCGTGATCGTATGTTCCTTCGATTATCACTTCTGTTCTTACTTTTGTAATGCTAGAATACGAAGTTAATTTTAGTTAAAAATAACAAATACAAACTGCACATGCAATATGATTAATCTCTTGCATACAATATCATAATTTAAAATATTGTTTGTTATAGTGCTTTAGTATACTTTTCATTGTGCAATGCAATTTATTTATTAAAGCAAAACTTATTATATACAGTATAATCATAACGTATAAAAGATGTAAAAAGCTAATAATGTAGCTACAAAATAAATATGGTTTAATAATAATAGTTTCTGATTACTACTATTCATTAGATGAAAATGAGAACTGCATTGTTTGTCGAGTTGTTTTCTATCAAAAAGATAGCCTTAGCTATATTTTTCATAAAGGGCTTTGACAGATTTTTATTACAGTAATTTGAAAAAAACTGTTTCAAATTTCAAGCATAATGATGCTGTGTTGTGTGTATTTTGTTCAAGCAAACAAGTAGCAGTGCTGATTTATTCTCATCTGATGTTGCCATTATTAATGTGTGTTGTTTTCAGCCTGCTGTTAATGGAGTTTGTAAATATTGTTCTTTTTGAATAATATGATAGTGAAGATGTGCATGTCTTAAATTTATCCTGAAATGCAACTATACCCAGAACCAGTAAAAGGATTAAAAATATTTACTGATATGAATGTTTTCATCAGATTTGTCATAATGAACACTGAACATAACAACATTAAGTAATTGAACACATTCAAATATAAATATCTGAAGTAGTTTAAATCTTGTATGTGCATGTTGATACAATGTTACCATGCTAAATATACAAAATTAAAAATTAACAACTTAAAATGCCTATAGGCCAGAGGACAATAATAAATACAGAGAATGGAAATCCGAGGCGAGTCCATAGTATGCCCTCCATGCTATAGAAAGCACATTGGTCTCTCTAAAGTTGACTGACCTCCAGCCGACTTTAGAGAGACCAATGTCCTAGGTGTTTCCAATGGCCTTGTAAGTTTTGATGGCTTCCAAATCTCAATGCAAGAGATCTGAGGTCTGGCATAATATACACATGCCCTTGAAATTGACCCTCACGTCACCATCCAAAGAATATGCTGCTAGTGTCATGTCATACAGCTTCTTAACAAAGACATGTTGACATTCCTTTAGTCTGATCCGAATGGTCCATGTGAGTATCACATAACAAAATAGCATGTATACCCAGGGCAAAATCTCCTCCTCTGGATTATTATTTCTAAATCAATGTAAAGATTGTCAAACTCCTCTTACAGGCAATCCTGATGTCGGCCACTTTAGCCTATGGGAATTTTAAGTTTTAAAATTAAAAATTATAATTTTGTATATTTAACTTGGTAACTCCACACAGATGTGCATGTACAAGATTTAAATGACTTCAAATCTTTGTATTTAAACATGTTTGATTTCTTAGCATTGTTCTGTTCATTGGGTTTGTCATAATGGATAGAGATATTCCTCACAAATGGACATAAACATTTGTATTGGTATAAACAACTTTAGTAAACCCGATACATTGCAATAACACACCATCTACTGCTATAATTTGGCAATAATAATAATAATAATAATAATAATAATAAATTACAGNATTTATAAATACGTATGTCAAATTATATTTTTATTACGACGCAAAATATATTTAAGAGTTTACGACCACTGTGCCGGGTGAGACGTTGTTGAAACAAAAAAATGTTATGCATTCCATCACGTACATAAACAGTGTCTTAATTCGCCAAGTGCAAATCAGCAAACTCGTAAAATTTTTGTTTATTTTGAACAATCCGGATAATCGAAAATCCGGATAATAGAGGTCCGGATAATCGAGGTTCTACTGTACATACATATATAATTGCTAATTATTAATCACTTAAGGTATACTGTATGTATGTATGTATGTATGTATGTATGTATGTATGTATGTATGTATGTAAAATCAATTAATTAAAAACATTGTTTTCAATAATGAAGTAGCTTTATTTCATTGTATTTATTATACACAGGTTTTGTGTTTGTTGCTTTAATTTTGGACACAAGTGTAGTACTAGGCATTGATATCTACTTAGCACAATCTACCAACAGCAATAATAATTATTATTATTATTGCCAAATTATAGCCTGATGGTGTGTTATTTGTATTAGTAAATATCTTTGATCCTTTTACTGGTTTTGAGTATATTTGTGTGTTTTTGCTCCTTACAACCAGTTTTGGAAACAGTGAAAATTTATCCTGTTTCAATGTATTGAAAAGTAGTAACAATACTGAGACTGCAGTCGAGAAAAAGAAATCATAAGTAACCACGAAATGGAAAAACTGTTAAATATGTCACACTGTATTTAATTGAATATTGGTGGCAAGGATATCTTTTTGTATATTTTGATGTACAGTCAACTCCCCTATAACACTGTTGATAATTCCATTTTATAAGAATTCCATGTTGTACGAGTCACTTAGATTTTACAAATATGTGAGCCATTCACAGCCCTGCACACGTATTTGTAAAATCTAAGTGACTCGTACAACATGGAATTCATATAAAACAGAATTATCAACAGTTTTATGGGGGGGTCGACTGTATATAAATAAATTCCTTTTTTAAGTTATTATTAAGAATCTGCTTGATTTATTTATCAATGAAAGGCTTTTAAAATTATTGTTGATGCCTTTGATTTTTGATTTAATTTGTATACAAAAAAATTGTTAGGACCACAACACATCTGTAAGATGTCTATGAAAAAAATGATTTATGAATTTCTGCTTTCCAAGCAAGAACTAGGAATGAATATATATTTTTTAGCTTGTTACCAAGTCTCACCCTACAGCCAAATAACGTGAAAAAACTCCTTTTAAGAGTTTGGTCTTGCTGCCGAACAGAATTTTTGTCATAGATATTCAGTTAGAGGAAGGTAAATTATGAGAATTTTGACATTTTTTATATGCTTTTTATTAACTTACTCTATTGTCTGTCCAGATAACGTAACTCAATTTTCACCTGCTTCCCAATTTCCAACCTAGATGAAACTTTGCATACGTAATATTCCCGACAATGATATATATTTTTTTTACAGTTTGCAAACAATTCTGGCAATTGGCATAAAATTAATGAATATTTAAAATTTGTAAAACACTGACGAGATGGTGCTACACATAAGGCAAATTATTGCCCCTTTTTTAGTCATATCGCCTACGTAAAATCTTGTAACTCAATTTTTTATCCATTTCCCAATTAGATGCTAAAATAATAAGAATTTTGATAATTCAGTGTTACACAAATAAAACTAAAATAAGATAGAAAATAAATATTAAAAAGATTTTAAAGAAATGCTTATTATTCAGATAAATGCACTAAAAAGTAAAATATAAATTTTCATTGTTTTTGTGGTATTCTTGGTATTAAGTGATCAAAATTAAAAGTGCAGGGCACTTGCTATAATTTTTTATCGGCTTCTCGCAAGTATAACTAAGAATATTTCTATATGTGAGTGCCTCACACCTTTATTTTTAGTTGCATAATATTATACAAAGAATACCATGAAAGCCAAAGAAAATTTTTTTACTTTAAGTCTAATTGAATTGAAAAATGGCAGCATATTGCATGTCTTGTGTGCTTAAGCTATTTAAATTTTACCAAATTGATAACAATTTCAAGTATTTGGATGCAAAGTTTATGATGTAACTGATAAACTATCTACATGTATATAATAGGAATCACTATATCAAACAGATTCCTATCTATTTAGGATTGTTATTTAATAGTTAGGAGTGCAGAAATGCTTGCAAGTGACTTTAGTGTATTGGAATTCTTAATTAATTGCTATGCCAACATATCATGAAATTCTGTCTATCACTATGAGCCTTGGACTTACAATAAAGATCGCTACGAGTCAATCTGTAACTGTTTAATTAAAAATACTGTGTCAGTTATTTTTTTCACTTGACTGAATGCAACATAGGTAAGACCGATAGATATAGGTAAAAAGAGATAGCTATTTCGATTTTTGGAAGAGTTAATCCCTGTGAATTATGTATAGTCATCGAGTATGCTAAAGTAAAGAGAAACTGTCTACGAAATTGCAATATACTGCATCGTTCAAAGAGCGTGTTATGGGGATTATTGGAAACAGATTACAATAGATGAAAGGTCCTCGATAGCTATCGAATTCCACTAAAATAAACAGAGGAAGAGCTGGAGGGTGAGAATTAGAAGCATATAATGTAGCGATATGACCTTGCACCCATAAGTTGACTCTCAGCATGATTTTGGCATTAACTGAGAGATTCAAATACTTGGAGAGACCAAGAGCTGAGTCATCTTTGGATGAAGGCAGGACAATATGTGGCGTATTTTCAGATGTTATATAAGCAACAGCTACCCAGTTGACTGCAAGTAGTCCTCGTTGCTTTGTTTAACTTGCTCGTTTGTTGGATATTGCTCTACTGCCGTTTGGAACTGATCAAGTTCATCTCTGGATAAATAGGCTCGATAAATAGACGCTGCCACGTAGGTCATACATAGCCTTAGTCAGCTCATTTTGACCTATAATACTGAAGAAAAATGTGACCTTTGTTTTGACCCCTAGCTCCAGTTCTACAAAAATGGATCATTTTTGAGAGTTGAAATTTTAATCAGTTCATCCTTGAGAAATGCTGAGTCGTCCTAGAAAATTTCATCAAGATCGGACAACTCATTCTAGAGTTATAATGTTGACAAGGGATGCATGAAGTTAAGTGTTAGTCGTCGCTCAGCTTCGTCTCACTCTGACAATAAACAACTACAAAGATTTAATTGAATGGCAAAGTGCCAAGCATTTGTCTGAATATAAATTACATTTAGGAAAAATAATAATAGTAATCTTAACAGTTGTCATCAAACAATATGGGCAGTCCCAACTTATACAAATGTTTTATCTAATTCTAGTTAATTTCTATTTAATTTCAACAAGTAATTATTTCAAATTCTAATTGTACTTCATAAATATGTAAAACAGTGTGTTTAATAAATTGTATGGATACGCAAACAATCTCGTGCCGGGC